TTGGAACTGGGATTGTCAATGCATGTGAAAACGATCTGAGTCCCAACACTTCTCAAATATTTCAGGAAAAAAGTTGAGTTAATACCTGTATATTGGTCAGCCAGTAGAATCGAGATATTATGTTGTTTAACTACAGGATCGAGTAAGTTTATGAAATCTTTAGCTGTTTGACCCTTTGATGTAGGGATACATGCAAATCTTGTGAAGTGGTCAACGAGAATGTGCATGTACCGTTTGGAAGAGCGGTTCCCTCCGAAACCTCCGACACTGTCGAGCGACATGATCTGGAAAGGCTCTGTGGCTGGGCCGAGACGGGAGAGCAGGCCGATGGCACGACTACGACGAGTTTTGTTCTCAATACAAATCTTGCAACTCCTATAGAAGTCATTAATTGCTTTATCTAGGCCCTTGATATAGTAATATGGTCTGATAGTTGCTTTCATGTGAGATGGGCCGATATGGCCATAGTGTTGATGAATGATTTTAATAATTTCTTTTCCAAATGCTTGGGATACAAAAATTCTTGATTTCTTCCTAATATTTTTGAAAATTATGTCTTGCTTTGATAAAATCTGGTCAGTCGCTCTCAGCTCTGAAAAATTATCAGCCTGGTCTTTTTTTATGGCTGACAAGTCTATTAAGTTGGTGATCCGGATTGAATCTTCATTCTCGAAGTGTTCAATGACTGGATTTCTGGAGAGTAGATCAGCCAGAACGTTATCTTTTATAGATAATATTTATAGATATTATAGATAATATCAAAATTGAACTGGAATAAATAAAGAATCAAATCTCCCAGAATTTCATCAGATCTGGCTTTTGTCCTCAAGTTTTCTAAAGGCTTGTGATCACAGCAAACTGTAAAATGACGCCCAATTAAGTAGTATTGCCAGAACTTAATCGCATCTTTAATGGCTTTGCATTCCAAGTGAATAACATTTAAACGTTTCTCACGTTCTGAAAGCTTGCGTGAGTAGTAAGCGACAGGATGAAGTAGGCCATCTTCTTGTGGTTGCTTTAGGTTTGCTCCGATACCTTTTAAGCTTGCATCTGTCTCTATGAAGACAGGCTTCTCAATATCATATATAGCGAGGATCGGGGAACTGCACAAAAAGTTTTTTATCATATTGAAAACTTCTTCACATTCATCTGATCACTCGAATTTAACATTTTTCTCCAATAAACGATGCAATGGTTCTAGTTTGACAGCACTTTGTTCTATGTACTTCAAATAAAAGTTTATGGAGCCTAAAATGCTCCGAACACCTGACTTGTCTGAGGGCCTCTGGCGTTTTTGAATCGATATTAAATTATCTTGGGTGGGTGACACTTTATTTTTCGAAAACTTGTGTCCTAGGTACTTTACTGATTTCGCACCAAACAGACATTTTTCTATTTTCAGTTTGAAACCTTCAGTGATCATAACTTCTAAAGCCTTGCTGATATGCTGAAGATGGTCTTCCCAATCCCGAGAAAAAATTAAAATATCATCAATGTAGTTTATGCAGAAATTGTCCAGGTTATTTCTTCTTATAATGTTGGATAGTATTCTCTGGAATATAGCGGAAGCATTTTTAATACCAAGCGGAAGAACTTAAAACATAAATTTTCCATATTTCGTAATAAAAGAGGTCTTTTCCCGATCCCGCTCACGAAGCGATATGCACCAAAATGCAGAATTGATGTCCAAAACGGTGAAGAATTCACAATTAGCTACTCTATCAATTACATCTTGAATAGTAGGAAACGGGAAACATTCAGGAACTACTAATTTGTTTAGCTTTCGGAAATCTATGCAGAGTCGAGATTTCCTCTTCTCTTCCTTTTTGTAGGCCAATGTGACGGGCGAAGAAAACGGGGAGTCTGATTCTTCGATGATCCCAGCTTGCAAGAGTCCTTTTATTTGGCTTCGTATTTCTTCGTCATCCGGGATAGAACATTTTATAAGGGCGAGAAGTGACAAACTCATCTCTGATTAGTTTTATTTCTGCTTCTCGTGAATGAACTTTACCTATGTCGAACTTGTCTTTAGCAAAAATATGTTGGTATTTTTTTAGTAAATATGAAATCTGTTTTTTGTGCTCCTCTTGTTCAATATGTTGTACACTTTTTAAGTTCTTACAAGTAGTTGTATTCTGATTTTGAAGAGGACCGTATGTCTCAATCTGATCAAGTTTTGACCGTGTTAAATTTATATTTTTATCTATTCTATCAGAAGAGAGATCTTCTGATGTTATGATTTTTGTGTCATTGGTACGTTGCAAAATTCTTAGATTCTCATCTTGTAGTAATTTAAATTTCTTGATGGCATCTATACCTAGTAATAAATCATAGGAGAAATTATTATTCTTGACTACATATGTTGTAATGTTATCAGTAATGTCTCCAATACGGAGTCTAATTTTAGCCCGGGCTGAGGTGAAATTAAGTCCGCCGATAGTTCTTAACGCTGCTCTTTGTTTAATTAACTTCAACTTCAGCAAATCAGCAATTTGTTGATTTATTAATGTTACATTTGAGCCACTATCATAAATAGCCTTAATTTTAATACTGTAATTTATAACAACATTTAGTTTAATCAGGGGATCTAACTTCGCCCGGCTTTCTAGTTTAAATGTTCTGAATCAAGATCGATTTCGCTTAAATCGAGATCAGTTTGATTTATTTTTGGCTGGTTTGGAGTTTTATTTTTGTTACGACATTCAGACATTAAATGATAACGATTGTGAAAACCGAGGGTTTCGCAGTAAGAACATGGCTTACGCTGATAATTACTCTTATGCTGTGGTTCGCCTTTTTTATAATAATTTAAAGCGGGATTCACAATAGATTTTGGATTTGATAGTTTTTCTTCCTTCTTTTTTACAAACGCATCTTCTAATTTTCGTAGTTTTGAGTATAATTCATTCAAATTACAAATTTTTTCTCGATCGAGTTTCAACTGAGCCTCATTTGGCGAACCGAAAACAATCTGGTTTATACGGGAGATCTCCGTGCCTTTAGGCTCTATGTCAAGTAATAATCTCTCCTTGGTGAGGGCATAGTCGACTAGGGATCCGCTTAAATATTTGAAGCCTAAAGCTCTTTTCACATGAGACCAGCCTTTATCAACAAAAATATTCTTAAAAGAGTCCCTCCATATGCTCCATGAATCGTTCAGACCAATCTTCTTTAAATTATTCTCATACCAATCATTAGCCGGACCATTAATGAGATAAAAACGTAACGCTTGAATTTTTAAATTATCGGATTTTATCTGAAATCGACAACATTCTTCTTCGAACCTACGTAGCCACTCTATAGGATCTGATTGCTTTTTATCAAATGGTTCTAAAATAAATTTTTTTTCAATATGATGCAGTTTAAATTCATTTTGTTCCGAATTAATTTTTAATTGCATCTCTAATCGTTTAATCGTTTAATATGATCTTCTGATTCTGATTGAGTGTCTGTAGGTCTGCAAGGAATTGTTTTTGGAAGACATTCCTCCAATGGTAACTCTCTAAAACAAATATTAGATGATAAATCAAAATATTCCTTTTTAATGTCATCATCAATCTTAACCCCTATTGTTCTATAACCATTAACATTTTTTATAGCATTTAATAAAGGTTTCTTACTTGATAGAGACGTATGAAATTTCAAGTCCTGGGTGTCTTCTGTCTTCTTTTGTCAACTGAAACACAATGAACCACAAAGTCTTCCTCACTTCTCTTCACAATTTGAACGTATAGAAGAGTCATTTCTTATGTGTTGAGATCTTGTAATTAAATTTCTAAGATCTTTTATAGACGTGATTTATTCAATTAAAGTAAAAGAATTTAATTACACGTTATTACAACACAAGTTAACTTCTGCTGTTATTCCAAGGGAATCATGTTTTAATCCTAGAATAAAATTACTTTTCATTTCATTTCAAAGGGACCTGGAATTGTGGAAAGATTTTTTTTATTTTTAGGGAGCCTCATAAATTTTTTTTTGTAATTGAATATGTTTTTTTTTAAATTGATTCCAATGTGGCACATTGTATTAATACTCAATAAAGTCAAAAAAGAAAAAGAAATTGAATGACAACTTTACTCAACAAACAAATTTTAAACAAATATCTAAGATCTTTTATAGAAGTGATTTATTCAATTAAAGTAAAAGAATTTAATTACACGTTATTACAACACAAGTTAATTATAACACTAATTCAATATAACAATACAAGAAGGTATTTTCTAATAAATAATCATTAACATCTGATTTAAAGATAAGTAACAGTTGAAGTGTTTAAAGGTTGCTCAAGTAACCTTACAAATAATTTTTTGTTGTTGCTTTTTTTGTCTTCATAGCAGGCCCAGGGAAAGGGAGGAAGCAGCAGGGGCCCCAGCCTTGCCAACCATGATTTTTTTATTTTTGTCTTCTAATTTTTTTAAAACAAAAGTTAACAAACATTATGTGATAATTACATAATATCATTCCATAATAATTTTATTGCATATTTTATATAAAATGAGATTGGATTACAGTGCCGAATTTAATATTTGGGAGGGGACCCGGAAAATTTGTTCCAGTTTCTATTGAAGACCTTACTGTATAGTAAGTACATCTTCACGAACAAATCTCTATGAAAAGTAAGCTTAACTGTACATAACTCACAAAGTACACATTTTGTGGGAAAATATATATTATCATTTAAATGGTAATTAAATTTTCTACAATAAAAAACCAAATCAAATGCCAAATGTGTCATTTCAGAAGTAACCAATTCAACAAAAACTAAAGTAAAAAAATAAAAATAATTTTACCTATTTTAGGTCTTAAAAATTTTAAGTTAGAGATTTCAAGGGGAGGAAAGATTTTATGAATGCTACACCAAATTTTGTTTTAGTTGTAAAATGCTTTATTTTTTTTATTGAAAATATTGCAATTTGAAAATAGTGGTATAATTACCAAAATGATTATATTGTAAAAAATTGACAGCATTTTAAATGATTTTTTTTTTTTAATTTTAGGCTGATGTCTGTCATGCATACCAAATTCTGCACAGTAATGGAATCCCTGATGAGAACATAATTGTTATGATGGCTGATGATATTGCCTTCTATGAAGAGTATGATTCGTGTTATTGTATATACTTTTATTTTATTTTTTTCTTAAATTAAATTTTAGTTTTGTTTCAGTAATCCAACTCCTGGTGTGATTATCAATCACCCTGGTGGGCCAAATGTCTACAAGGGCATACCAAAGGATTATACAGGGAAGGTAAGTGGAGATATGATAATTTTAACTCTTTTTAAAATATTTCTTATAGAAATTCTCCCCCATGATATTTACTAATGAAGCGGCTCATCCTGGATTACTGGGTTCTACAAATCCTAGAAAGCCATGAGGCTTCTCAATAGGATGTGAAGGATGAAAATACATTAGGTGGTAAAAAGAGAACCAGGTACTGAGAAGGTAAAGCGACTTTGCTGGATAATCAATGATTTAAAGGTTAAGCCAGATTTTTCTAAGCTATAAAAACTGTGTGATGAATGAGAGATAAAAGTTTTTGTTTGTGAAGAAACATTTGTTCGAAATCCATAAAGCATGTTGTTATAGAAATCACTCAAGGTTATGACATTGGAAGAGGTAATCTAGACTAGTTGGACTAGGGAAGCATGAAAGTGATGATCAAGGTACAAAAAGGAAATGATAGGTGACATCATAGAGCAAGTAGTAGATATTTCAGTGAAGTACATATATTGTTGTAGAAAGGCCAGGGGTGCTCATGCACCAAAGTCGATGGTGCAAGAACCTAATCCCCTCCCTACCCTTCCCACTCCCTAGATCAACTTTTCTTAAGTACAGTGCAAGCAAAGTTTATTCAATGAAAGTCAATCTAAATGTTTTGTAATGTATAATCGAAGATTCTTTATCCTTATTATAAAATTATTACAGTGTTACTTGAGCTTGATATATGTTTTTCTTATTAATATGAAGATTTTTTATAATATATAATAAAAAATTATTTATGTTTATCATAAAATTTGAAAAATCTTCTAATATCCGCATTACTAGGTATATTTTTGTTTTTTTTTAAAGTCTAGTTTTTGTTTTGAAAATATAGTAGAAACTAGTTAATTGCTGTCATATTGATTAATGAATAAATCAATTGATAATCTTATTTTTATAGGATGTTACCGTTAAAAATTTTTTGAATATTCTGGTTGGAAACAAAACTGCAATGAAGGGTATAGGAAGTGGTAAAGTTATTGAAAGGTACTATTTTATCACTATTTACCTGCAATACCACTATTATACATATTATACATTATTATTGAGTGTTCAATTTTTTCTAGTGGTCCAGATGACTTGGTATTCATCAACTTTGTGGACCATGGTGGTGACGGTGTCCTTTATTTTCCAAATGAAGAGCTATATGCGGATGAGTTTATTGAAGCAATTAACTTAATGTCAGCTAAGTCAAAATATTCAAAGGTGTGTACTAGAATAAAGTTATTACTAGCAATCGATTCGTAACATAAATGAACAAAAAGTGAAATAAATTAAATACAAGGATCAGAGCATAACATTGTAAACTTCCTTTGCACAAGAATAATACATTCATTAAATACAAAACTTTTTCCTCGTTATTTGTTTACATTTAATAAATTTAAATATCATTACAGATTTACTTTTTCATATAGCAATTTAATTTTTTTATTCTTTGGAATTATTTTTATTGTAGTTGATAATGTACATAGAAGCTTGTCATGCGGGTTCCATGTTTGACAATATGCTCTCAGATACGACAAATGGTAAGTGAACCACGCAACAAATATATTCAATCTATTAACATTAGTAATTTAAATATTATATGTAATATTTCCTTTTTTTTTTCTCTAAAGTTTTTGTTCTGACTGCATCCGATCCACATGAAAGCTCCTATGCCTGCTATTATGATGAAACGAGGGGAACATATTTAGGCGATGTCTTCAGTGTCATATGGATGAATGATACAGAAAATGTAAAGTTTCCATTAATTTAAAAAATTCTCATTTTCCTTGAAATTCCTAATTAATCCTTTTTGCATCAGTTATCTTCAGAAAATTAATACATTATGATAATTTGAAAAAATAAGATTAGAGTTTAAATAAAATTCAAAAATAAAAATAAAAGCTTATAAGATATCTTGTCTGTTTAATGTTTTAACTTAATATGATCCTTTTTAAATGTTTGGGCTTTAATTGGGGAAGTTATTCAGATAATAATAAATTATTATAATATAATAACAGATAATAAGTTATTCAGAAGAGTTGGTAGATTTTTTTAGTTAAATTTCAAAGTTTGATCAATCATATTAGTCATAGAGGCAATATGCCATAACACTTTGAGAGATATTCATATTAAACATCTGTCTTACAATTAGATGCATTTTAAAGTTTTTTTTGCAAGCCTCATTAATGAGAGAATTGTATAGAATTCAGAGGATTATTTTAGATCAATTTATTAATTTTTATTGTAACCATTTTAGTTTTATTTTCCTATAAAAACTCCTAAAAAAGCAAATATTTTTATCATTGTGTCACTTCTACTTAATATTCTTTAAAAAATATAGGTTCTCTGAAATAAAATAAAAAATATGAAATCATAAAAATCATATTTTATCTATTTATTCATTTCTTATTTTAATCTCAATGATTTTTGGAAAGGATAATGATATAAAAATATTTTATATATATATATATATAACTTATAAGTTACTTGTTTATTATGAATAATTTCTATAATAATACTTATTACAATTATTAATTTTATTTTTTTCATATAGGAAAGCTTACCACGTGAGAGTCTTCATCATCAGTTTGAAAAAGTCCGTACTTATACCAACACTAGTCACGTTGAGGAATATGGTGATTTGGATATTGGTGTAACAAAACTGAAAGATGTTTTAGGATTCAAAATGAGAATGATGAAAGCATTACAGGGTTTTAATTCATCTTTCAGCAGTTCGGATGTCAAGCCAAAACATCCTGTGGTATCTACAAACTTATTTTTATTTTAAGATATATCTTTTTGATATAGTTGAAAATAATTCTAATTGGAATAGCCATTGATTCTGTGTGGTTGCTTGATAATATTATTGATTATTATAATAACATTTTTGTTTTTATAAATAACAACAAGATTGATGCAACTTGTTGCATCTCACATTTTAAACACATTAGAGTTTTTAGTATTGCTAAACATTTTTAATAATTTAAAGATTTGTTCCTAATTGTTGTTTATATAATAATATCATGAACATTGTTTGCTGAATACAAATTTTTATAAGACCATAAAATTATTTTATGCATTTCAGGACACCGCAGATAATATGGAAGTTCCTCTTATTGTTCTTCAAAAGAAGAGAAGTGCTGCCAATGATCCAGAGCAAAGTCAAGCTCTGAAAATACAAATCTATAACCTAATCAAAGTAATTTATACTGGATTAATTATTTTGTATAGTATATAATAGTAAACTTTTCAATACCTACTTACTTATACGTGTGTATTTTTAACTCAAAAATGACCAATATGGGTAATACGTACTGTAATCATCTCATATGCCTTCTGTTTTATTGCAAAGAAGTTTAACCCACAGCAAGGCATTAGAGCCACAAGAAACCAACTTATTTTATTTGCAGATTTAGGAGATGACTCTTGTACAAAACCCATATTAGGAATTTTTTATTACCAACTTATTCTGTTATTTTATAATATTCAAATATATATATATATATATATATATATATATATATATATATATAAAGTTAAGTATATTCATATATATTTATTTTATTTTACTTTATTCCAGAAACGAAAATTTGTTGATCAGTTATTTCATGAAATCGTTCGAAGGGTAACAGATAACATAGATTTACGCAAGAAAGAAGTGCACACTTCAACATATGGTTTAACTCTAGATAAATTCTCATGCTACAAGAAGCTCTACACCACATTTTCCAACAATTGCTTTAGTTTTATTCAGGTAATTATCTTGATTGTTTAACATGAAGGTACTATATGTATTTATCACACTATCTAGGTCAAAGGAAGTGAGTTTCAAAATAATTAACTTACAAGTGAAACATAAAATATGGAATTTTATGATTGGTTTATTTCAATGCTTTAAGTTACGGAGAAAACATTGAGGGTCACAAAATTCATGCCTACCCATTGATTTGGAGACCATTAAATTATATCTGCACTCAAAAGATCTCTATATATCAAACTTCCTTTTATTGAAAATCTCTACATTCATAACTTTTTTTTGTAGAAACTTTGAATTTTTATCAGAATAAATATTCTATATATGAAATATAATTTCAATATATATTAAACAAATAGTTAACTAAAGAAAAACTATAAAATGTGATTGGAATTAAAAAGTTCTCTAGCTTACTTTAGAATTGGTACTATAATAAAAAAAAAAAAAAAAAAAAAAAAAAAGAACTGGTTGCTCTGAGCAAAGAAGCCATGATATGGTTATTGAAACATCTGAAAGTTTTGTGGGAAGACTGAAGGATGTAAATCCTTAAAGTTCAATAAGATCAAGCAAATATTGTAGAAATATAATATGCAAATCTATTTAGTAAATTACAATTACTGCTAAAATGAGTACTTTTATCTTTTTGTTATTTGTTTCATGTGAATAAACTTAATTAAAATTTCCATAAAAATGAAACATTTTATTAGCCTATTTCTGCTCTGATGTTTTAAAAGATAATATATGTTAAGTGACTATAATATGTTAAGTTATTATATTATTAATATAACTATAAAAAATCCATATTTAGTTTTAAATATTTCTTGTGTTTTTTTTTTTTAGAATCCTTATGCTCGTGTGCACTTGCAGAAATTTGTAAACATGTGTAGCACAAAATGGTTGAATAAAGATAAATTCGTTGAAGGCATAAAATCAGCTTGCAGTGATGTATTAGGCTCTATGAAACCCAAAAATATCATGTAATCAGATATTTAACCAATTTTATGTGCAATTTTAAAAGTTTATGTTATAACTAAATAAAATATTGATTATTATTATTAATTTTCTATTCCTTTATTAAACACTCAATCCTTATTCTTATCCCCTTGAAGATACAAAGAAGGGCTAGAATTATGGTGTAGTGAGGTGGCTCAAACCTTTTAAAATTTCTCAATAAGTTAGCACTAAAGGTATGTATGAAGGAAAAACTATGAATTTACAAGTAGTTCATGAAAAACTTCATGACTTCTAATTTTTTTATATAAAAAAAATTTCTACCTTGGCATACCAGAAGTATATTTTATTTGAGACAAAATAATTTTTGTTCACAACAATATCATGTATATTAGATGCTGCACAAAAAAAGTTATTAATGCACTGCTATATTATATCTATTTAAATAAAATAGAGTTAAATTTGGTACCTTGAACCCAGTGGATGCTTTTAAAAAATGAGTTTGTTGTTTTTTTCTTGAAATACCACAAGTGTTTCGCGAATATATTATGATTAAAAATATATACTAGTTTGAAGTGGATTTACTTACAATAAGTTTCAATTTGATTGTTAATAAACATCTGAATACCTAATTGTTGTTGAGATATTGAACTTTTGTCAAGAAATTATTCATATTATGAATAAAATAGATGATTTGAAATTGGATTATGTAATGTTAATAGTTATTAATAAAATGGTTTGTTGATTTTCGCTTAACGTCCTTTTGTTACTCTAACTATGTCAGGAAGGGTTGTCCTGCAGGTAATCAACCTGTTTCATCAAGAATGAGAAGGTCAATTAAGTGGGTGCTTAACAACAAGATGAGGTTAAAAAGTATTTAGTTATTTAGTTATTAAAAGTATTAGTTAAAATGTATTCAAAAGCTTCTAGATATCAATGGAGTCATAATTCTGATACATCATAGAAAAATGTACTTTGCAGTATGTAGCTGACCAGCAGGGGATCCAGAATTTAATTTTTTTTTGGAGGCTATTTTTGAAATGTTAGCCTTAAGCACTAGCGGATCCAGGATTTAATTTTGTGGGGGGGGGGTTCCAGCCCGAAAGCTTTTTTTTCATAAAAATAACGATAATTACTTTGGAAAAAAAGAAAGAAACTAACTACCTATATGAAATGGTGTTTAAGTGATTCCTAAAGCCCTTTTAATATTAATCACACGAACAATAATACTTTAAGAGATACTTTTTTTATATTTTTGTCGATAAAACATGGTTATATTTTACCATTTTGGGGGGGGAGGGAGGGCTTCAGCCCGAACTCCCCCCCTCCGTAGATCCGCCCGTGACCTTAAGTACTATGGATAATAGAAGAAAACTATACATAATTATATTTAAGTGACCCTTGAAGGCCTGTAAGCAGAAATAAATAAATAGGGATAGTTTTATTATAATTTGATCTTGACATGTACTTAATTTTAGAGCACTTTATAAATGGTATAATAATTTAAAAAAAGGTATACACTGTGATTGTTTAATTATTTAGCTCAAAGCCCTGGAGCAAGGGCCCAAAAAGAGACCTCATAGTAGGCAAAGGTTTGAATATAAATTACGAAAGTTATGTTATTCTAAGTAAAATGAATCTTGTCTGCCATTCCAGAGCCGCTGTTTTCAAAAATGACGGTTGATTTAAATAATGTTAGGCCAGTAACTCCAGGCTGGAAACGGGAAGTAAACTGTTTCGATAAAAAAGCTAAAAAAATTGACTTTTTTGGTTGTAAAAAGTTTTATCTTGGTTGCTGGCGTTAGCAATTTTGTTTTTTTCATGTTTAAACACAAATATACAAGTTCTAAATAATTTGCCCACATTTTTCATTATATTTTTCCCGTTTCGATTCTCAAGTTTCTTTAAATCAGTTGTCATTTTTTAAAGCATAGTATCTGGGCTGTGGATAAGGTTTATTTTATTCAGAATAACACACCTTCGTAACTTACATCCAAACCTTCGCTTGTGATGAGGTCCCATTTTAGGCCCTGGTTACAGATTTTTTTTCCTTCCTCGCCTTTTAGGCTCTAAGAGGTTTTCTCGGGAACATCTTCATTCTCAGCATTTCTACGCAAGAATGAATCACCAACATTATCACAAGACAGTTTATCATAAGACGTACTTAGTGCTGAGCATTTCAAGTCCGCCGGTCTACACAACCGCAAGAAACTCTGGAAATTACTTGAAAATATTTTCACAGCATCATATTAACCTAATGAAATGTCTCTTTTCAGAATTGTGCAATTGCCACCGTATAATGGTTTTAAAAATTATTATGTTTGTTTATTTTTTTTTAATTACGTAGTTCACGAAAAAAAAAATCCATAATAAACGTATCCCATCTCCACTTGAGTTCACAAAATGCTCTGCATCATTTTCAATTACATGCAATATACCACTTTCTTGAACAAGTTTCCAGGATTGGATAAAACTGTTGATCGGGAGAACCTCTTGACTATGAACTCGTCTTCTATGAAGTGGGCACCTGGCTATTTATTGGTTAGGGGATCGCTTCCTTGTACAACTGCAGGTCATGAATGTCTTTGTTGCAATACTTATACACCATCCAAGATCTTTGATGACTTTTAGTTGTACAAACTTATTTATTTGTTATATATGAGGCTACACATAGTACTCCACATCTATTTGAATATGAAATACTTCACTATTGTAATTGTTTTTGCAATTTTGTGCTTGGTTGGTTAATTTCTCTATACCAAAATGCTGCTGTAAAGGGAAATCGAATATTTCTATTATTTCAACGTTATACATGAATTTACTTCATTATTTATCTAATCAGGATTAAAACCATTCTATATCCTTATCTATAGTGTCCCCAAAACTAATATTTAAATTTTCCTAAAACTCTGTGACCCATCGACCTCTGAACTCACAACCGATAGTTTGTGCTACCCTCCAATCTATTATCACATTTCATGCTAGTTCAGTTTGGATATTCGGTGGGTAGTCCTCGTGTCATTCTGGTCTCAAAAAAGATGAGTGCAATGCTACCTTGCCTGCTGTTGTTTGTGGGACTAGCGCGTTCCAACGCTCACTTTTCTTTTCAACAGAATAACCGAATTCCAATAACCACATCCAAGAAAATCACGGCAGACCCGCCTATCGATCCGGCCGGAAAGATATGGGCACTACTGGTGGCCGGTTCGGAAGGCTGGACTAATTACAGGCATCAGGTAATACTCACAATTAGCCATTGCCGTTGCATGCTTGATATTTATATTGGTATACTAATATTAGTTTCTTACAGTGTTATATTCATTAACATATGAATTACTATACTGTTTTTAACATTCCCATTTTATTTTATTCACCTTTATAAACGACATGCTGCGGACACCAGAAGATTGTAGGCGATTTAAGAGTAATGGAAAGCGTCAAATAAAAAATGACATGTTTGAGTTTCAACAGAAAAGCTCAAAAAAGAAAAGTTGTAAGAAACTGAAATTACGTATTTAAGGTAATTGTCTAGACATCTACGGTTTTGAAAGTGATACTTGCTACAGTCGAATTTACACATTTTTTTTCAAAACTGCTCTAAACTTGTTACTTACTACTGTAAACTGCTGATTAAACTTGTTACAAGATTGTAAAATCAACTGGCATCCATAGTATCATAAGAGGCTATGAGGCACTTAGAGCCAATCTTAGGAGGGACACTATGCTCTCCCTTTTGAGAGATTGAGGCTTACTCAATTAACCGAACGCCTTGTACTTCAAGTACTCTGTGTACGACAGCAAGGATATTGAAAGTTTCATCCATTCTCGGTAGAAGAAGAGACAAGACATTATTTTAGGAAGACCACTGACGACGATGGTCGACTCATTCATTTTGTCACCCCATAATAAAATGTAAATATTTTATATAATATCAAATATTTTAGTAATAGCAGCGAGCTGGGCTTAAATTTCAGTTCTGGAAACTCCAAAAACGTATGTCTCAGTGAATAATTATTCAAATGATTCCGCGATAAATGTCGAACAAGTCAACGTGGTCGGACCAGTTGATGCTGGGGTGTCATTAATGTGGTATTTTTGATTTGCAAATGTTTTCCGCGATATAGCTTCACAGCAGATTTTGATGTTAACTTTTATTTGTAACAATAAACCTGTAAATGAAAGTTCCGAACTGAATTTCGGCTGTGAAAGAAATTGAAATTTGATTGATTTCTTTGACGTTTTCCAAAAAAAAAAAAAAAAAAAAAAATCAAATTTAAACGGTATAACTTATATGTATATGTATGAATGATGTTAGGCGTGCATTCCGTTATTGGCGGTCACTAGCGATTTAATTTTGGGGGGGCTTCAGCCCGAAAGCTTTTTTTTCATAAAAATAACGATAATTACTTTGGAACAAAAGAAAGAAACTAACTACCTATATGAAATGGTGTTTAAGTGATTCCTAAAGCCCTTTTAAATGTAATTACACGAACAATAATATTTTAAGAGATAATTTTTTAATATATTTTTTTCTATAAAACATGGTTATACTTTACCATACAGCCGCTCGTGTTGGTGGTCACGTTTTGAATAAAATAAAGTCTCAAAAACTGTCTATATTCTTAATTCAATAAAATATTATTCAATAAAATTGTACATATATGCTATACAAAATAAAAAATTATAATGATTCAAACATTGGGGACTACAACTTAGAAAATCATGGAATTAAATAAAGAAATAATAATAATAATAATAAATTAATTGATTATATATATCAAATTATATTTTTAAAAGTTTGATGGTTAATAAATACAAATACACTTCCTGACGCATTGGATCGGTGAATTTTTCGACTCAGTCTTTATTTTGGGCTTAAACTAAGAGAAAATTAAAATTTTTAAAAGATTACAATTATAAATTCTGAATTTATACGGGAATTGATGGAATTGTTTAAGAGCGTAGGCAGCACAAAACCCTTTACCTCATAAGTGGGAGTCATTTTATAAATTTGATTTATTTTAATTAGAGGAGGGAATTTTTTTTTCGTAATCAGAGTCTTTTAAAATGTTTAAATACAAACAATCAATTTTATGAACGTTCATTGCTCAAAATGGTTTTTAATCTTGAAATTGCCCACTTTCATGTTTTGATAAAAACTTTAAATTCCTATTTCTACTTCTGAAGTTACTCTTGATCTGAAAAAAATATCCATAAGTATTATGAAATTGTTTTCAAATTTTTATTGATACAATTATCTTTATATGACACATTGATCTTTCCATAAATAACAATGAACATTTACAAGTATATCATTTGCTATGGTTTACTTTTAAACCAGTATGGTACGTTTTACTTGACTAAGACTAAAAATTGGGTAGACTATAATTTCCTAAAATGTACTGAATCATCAGCTTATACATAAATAAATGTATCAATTAATAAATTTATTATTTTAATTATATACAGGGTGTCTCAGATCTTAAAAGTCGAAAGCTGGGGAGAGAATGTGATTCTAGACAAAAATTCCAACAAACAAATTTGTTTGATGCATGGGCCGATTCCGAATGGATAACTTAAGACAAATTTTGTGTTTCCATAAGACAGTTACGGTTTTTATTGAATAAGAAGGAATTCATTAAAAAAGACAATTAAATTCTAAGTACACCATAAAATTGACAATAATTTTTTTAAGAACATAGTGGTTAAATTTACGAACTATCTAATTACTATCTATCTATCTTCTTTTTGTTCTTCCACATGGTCTTTTGCCATCTATTGATGCATTTATTGTAACGTAGAGGCTCCCACATGGTTTGATATGAGCTATATGCCCCGTTTATCTTAACTTCTGTGTTAAATTGGAATATATATATTTTTTTATTTCTTAATGACATTTACAACTGTATTACATAAATACATCAAGCAAATTTGGACATAATAGATATAATGACATGAATATACTTGCTGAGTAACTACCCAATGGTAGCACTCTAATGATATGACTACATTAGGAGATCACGGGGCCATCTTCTTTTCAGACGCCTCGGAGGGTTATCAGGAATTGAAGAGGAAGCAAGGTTAGAAACGAGAGGGTTGGGATGATTCTGAAGTTTATTATGGAAAGATAGGTATCTGGATTGGGCCAGATCTGAAACATAAGTAACATTAAGATCTTTATGGATAATTTTATTAGTGACAAAGTAAGGAGCATTGAGGATTTTACGAAGGATTTTGGATTGTAAGGAGAGGAATTCGATGGTTTAGTGGAGCCCCATAGCTCAACTCCGTAAGTCTAAATAGGTCTTATTATAGTCAAGTATATGAGTCTTTTGTAATTAATGGGAAGTTTAGAGCGTTTGTCTAGTAAGTGCTGAAGTAATCGGAAACGTCGAGCGGTTTCTTGTCGTTTCAGTCTAGTATGAGGATTCCAAGTTAGTCGTTTGTCCAGGTGGAGTCCTAGGTATCAGATTTGCTCAACAGGGATAAGTGGAGTATTGTTAAAGGAAACTGTAGGACAGGAAGTCGTTGGTTTACGACGAAGGGTAAAGGTAATTTGGTGGGATTTATTGGAGTTTATTTTAATTCTCCAGTTTTGACACTATTCTTCTAGATTTATGATGTGTGATTGAAGCATTTGGGATGCAATTGCTGGGTCATTGTTTACTGATAGGATACATGTGTCATCGGCATATGTGGTGATGACAGTGTTGGGACAGGTAGGGATGTCAGCTGTATAAACTGTATAGAGGATAGGACCTTGGATACTACCTTGAGGAACACCAGCGGACTGGGAATTAGAATATAAATTTAATTTAATATCCATGGAAATTAACATCTATAAATTAACAAACCCACGACCTCCAAAACTCCATTGAACACTAAAACCTTATTATCCTCATCCTTACAGATTTTTCAAAGCGTTTGACACAGTTGGTTATAACATCCTCCTTACCAAATTGTTCTTCATCTATCCAACAGTACACTGCGATGGTTCAAATCCTTTCTCTCAGATCGGTCCCAGCATGTAGTCATTCCTGGTCAATCTCCATCTATGGCCCTCCCCCTCTCCTGAGGTGTCCCTCAAGGTTCTTCTCTATCTCCTACCCTGTTTGTGACTTACATTAATGACCTTCCTCTCCTGATGCATCATTCCCAATACCACTTCTATGCGGACGATTTCCAAATATACCTGTTCTTCCCGTCTTCTGCCCTATTACCATTCACAAAAAACTTCAAAAAGACCTAAATAAGATTTGTGACTGGACAGGAGCTAACAAGTTGAAGTTGAATGCAGAGAAGACAAAGGCAATCGTAAAAGGCTCCAATCACCTCCTTAAAACTGTTTCTGACATTCCAACCCTGTTCCTACATGATAATCCCATCAAATTTTATCCCACCATCAAAAACCTTGGAATAACCATTAATCAACCGCTTTCCTGGAAAAAAATATGAATCCTATATCTCTAGCTGTACATTTCCACCTTAAAACGTCTAAATTACTTCTGTCACCTATTTCCATTTTTCTTAAGTTAGACAGCAACTTATACTTTTTTTATTATGACTATTTATTTACTTTATGAATTTTGATATATATCTGAGGCTCCATAGCCCAAATTTCTGATTTTATGAATTATTATTCTAAAGAAACTTGTCTCAAAATAAATAAAGTATTATTATTAAATATTTAAATTTGCTAAGACTTTCATATGTCGTGATGCAGAGATGATACATTGGACAAAATCAACTTGCCACGAACAATAATTTGTAGTAGACTTTTATACACAATCATTACATATCTTTCAATGTGTTTTGAGCTCAAATTGTTTCAAACATATTAAAATTGAGCCATCAAACTTAAAAATCGGTCCTGTTGTCTGCTCAAAAAATAGTTAGATGCCTTTTAGTTAGTTGATTAAACAATGTTTTATACAATGATTTGTTCTTATTTAGAGTTTAAATTGTTTAAAAAAAACTCATGGGGCCACATTGAATAATTTGAGTCGTCCTACTTAAAAATAGGTAAAAAAAACGTTACACGCCTAAAGACATTATCACCCATAGTCGGCTAAAAATTACCATATAATTAAAAAAAGCAAATTGAATTTGAATTTTTAAAATTTTCAATTTCAGGCTGATGTTTGTCGTGCTTATCAAATTCTTCACAGTAATGGAATCCCTGATGAGAACATAATTGTTATGATGTCTGATGACATTGCCTTCAATCAAGAGTAAGTTTGCCTTATTTTATTTCAATATTTACTTTTTTTTTTGGATGTAAATTTTAGTTTTGTTTTAGTAATCCAACCCCTGGTGTGATTATCAACCACCCAGGTGGACCAAATGTTTACAAGGGTGTTCCAAAGGATTACACAGGAAAAGTAAGTGATGATATGATAATTTGGATAATTAGTTTTTTGGTAGTCAAGTACTTTTTCTTATCATGTACTCATATGTGCAGTCAATGCAATTTCTTTGAATTATTGAGTCTTACAGATATTAAAAGAGCATGATTTTTCCATATAGGATAAGAAGAATTAAATGGGTTGAAAAATAAAACATTCAGTACTATACAAAATTCTTCGCATTTGTCTCATTTTATCCTCCTAAATTACATCATTCTTTGTGGGATGAGTGTGGAGGTGGCATATGTATAATATGGCTCCACTGAGAGCAAGTCAATCTAAATATTTTTTATATTATTTAATCAAAGATTCTTTATTGTTGTCATAGAATTAGATATGTTATTATAATATTAAAGGTACAAATATATTCTAATAACAACAAATCTATAAATCAGTAGATAATGATAGTTAATCTATAAATCAGTAGATGATTATAGTCAATCTATAAATCAGTAAATAATTAAGTTAATCTATAAATCAGTAGATATATTTTTGTTTTATAGAATGTTACAGCTGACAACTTTTTGAATATCCTTACCGGAAACAAAACTGCCATGAGGGGTATAGGTAGTGGTAAAGTTATTGAAAGGTATTATTTCATCATTATTTACCTGCAATATAATGTCAATTATCACTCCTGTCAGTGTTTAATTTTTTCTAGTGGTCCAGATGACTTGGTGTTTATTAACTTTGTGGATCATGGTGGTGTTGGAGTCCTTTATTTTCCAAATGAAGAACTATATGCAGATGAGTTTCTCGAGGCAATTAACTTAATGTCAACTAAGTCAAAATATTCAAAGGTTTGCATTGGACTAAAGTATTATCTGCAATAAATTTATAGTGACATGAAAATTGTATTATAATTAAACTACAATTAGTTGGCAGCCCTATGGCATAAGCTTGAGGAAAGAAGTTGCTTGCTCTCAAGCTGCCAGATACTACTACAATAACTGTTCAGAGGTTGTTTTTATTACTATGGAAAAAGAAATAAAGGAAAAGAACTTTTATACATAACATTATAATTTTGTCTATGATGCCTCTTTTATAAAAAGTTAGATTGAAATTATATTGAATGTTTACTGAGATTGTATATATATATTAATATTATTTAATATTATATATATTTAATTCCATATAATATTCCAAAACAAAAAAAAGGGAGGGGAAGGAGATGCTAGGTGACAATGATACCACTTTTTGGCAGTCAGGTTGACATTAATAACCTCTGCTACCTGTTAAGGATCTGCGTAATCAACATTTAAAATATACTTGACAGAACCTCAATGGGACGAGAACACTTTAAGAAGAAAAAAAAAAAATCAATAGCAAATCAAGAAAGGAAATGTCTTCTTAATAAAAAATTATTTCCGCAGATGGGAGATGTTCAGTTTTGCTTAAAAAACAAATTTTGCATTTAATTTTCTGTTGAAAAAACAAAAAATTTTTGATAGAAATGGATGTTACATATTTAGGACATCTAACAGATCTCATTAAAATCTTTGTTTTCTTCACAAGTGGAGATATTCATTTACAGTAGCAATCTTCTCAATTTTAAGAATACCAGGCACATTTAGAATCTAATATATTTTGTCAACAGTTTTTTTTTTTTTTTTTCATAGATATTTTATTTATAGAAAACAATTAAATGTTGAAGTACTAGAAATGTATTTATGTGTAGAGGAATGTATGAATAATTTAGTAGGTCTGCTTTTGGTATTATAAATAGTAAGAACAGCATCAAATTGGAATGAGCTTCCTATTCAAAGGGTAGAGATTTACAATTTATGATTTTACAAGTAATTTCGATTTGTTTAAATTCAATAGATTAAAGTGCCACTATAGATTAATTTTTTTTATGTTGCAATGTACGTTTGTTTAATTTTAATGTAATTTTTATTGTAGTTAATAATGTATGTTGAAGCTTGCCATGCAGGTTCCATATTTGACAATATGCTCCCAGACACAACAAGAGGTAATTGAATCAACCTGTAAATATTAATAATATATTATTTTTTAATTGTGAATAATCTATGTATTGTTTACATTTAATTTTTATTGGTTACGTTTAAGTTTTTGCTCTTACTGCGGCTGATCCACACGAAAGTTCCTATGCCTGTTATTACGACAAGCAGAGGGAAACATATTTAGGTGATGTCTTCAGCATCATATGGATGAACGACACTGAACACGTAAGGTCTTAGTTGTTTGTTTTTAGTTGTTCGTTGAAATGCCTATCGTAATCAATGCACATCTTTATCACATTATTATTTATTAGCTCCATTAATTACCACTCTTTAATTTATCCATTTTAACATTATTTCAGACAATTCAGTATGTTCATAATGAATGTAAGTGTATCCTTTCATTGATAATTCAAAGTGGACAAGAAACATCCACAAAGCTTAATAATCAGGACTATGGTTCTTTGGTAAACTGGATAATGACTAGTTGAGAATTGGTTAATATCTTCCAGTTAAAAATAACTATCAAACACTACATATATCTTAAAGTTGCGGGTGACCAAGCAGGGCTAACGTGTGTGCAAAACATATTGCCCATCAACCAAATAAACTGAAGATAAATATTTATCAGTTTTTTACATATTTTATATGTGTTAAAGGCTTTATGTATTTAGTATCTTCCAATTATATCGTATTACTTAATCAATATTTTTTTTGTATTTGTCATTGAAAAAATGGATCCAATATAATAATCAGAATAGTTTATATTAATGATTGAATAAGTATCATACATTTAAAAATAAAACTTAATAACATTTTGTTTGTTGAAAGGTTCATTAATGAACAGAGAAGTTTATGAACATTTAGTGTGATCATTCTTATATTATTTTCTTATCAATAAAATATATAACTTCTTCACTGTTGCATTATTTATATTTATTAACCACTGAATATATTTGTAAAAAATCATTATTTTCCCATTCATTTATAATTTCAATGGTTTATGGCAACGATGCTGCTATTTATTGTATAGTAGGAATTATTTTAAAATTAAATTGTAGTTTATCAGTTACTGGCATATTATGATAGAATGCTAGTTATAGTAGCATCAGCAACAAATAGTATCTTCCACAAATATTAATTATATTTTTCACATAGGAAAGCTTGCCCAGTGAAAGCCTTCATCATCAGTTTGAAAAAGTCCGTACTTACACCAACACTAGTCATGTTGAGGAATATGGTGATTTGGATATCGGTATAACAAAACTGAAAGATGTTTTAGGATTCAAAATGAGATTGATGAAATCAATGGGTGGATTAAATCCATCTTACAGTAGTACGGTTGTCAAGCCACAACATCCTATGGTATATTATATTTTTTTTATTTTGAATAAAATCTTGATAAATCAAAGAAAAATATTTTTTCTTATATAGTGTTAACTATCATTTTCCTCCATCGATTTCTAGCAAAAAAGACTCTCCATTTCATTAATATTAAGTATATTGAAATTGCAATGTAGTTGTGTTTAATAAAAAAAAAATAATTTTCTTAAAAACCTCAAAACTAGATAATGATTGTGTGTAACTCGTTATAATTCTCTACAGAGAACTTCTGTTCAGAGAGCTGAAAGTTAGAATTCACAAAACTGTTATACCTACTATCCTCTACACTTTTCTTTGCAGTGTAGAACATGACTGGAGGGACTGAAGGGTAGGTTTGATTGGTTTAAGGATTAATTGAGGGAATGGTACTAGGCCTGGAGCTTGTACACTTGGAATTTGATATGATTCAGCGGAATATACAATACACGGTGGGCCAGACCCCCTTACCGTGCACCCCCCCCCACATCCCTATAAATTGCATATCGTTGTGTTCCTTGTAACTATTTATTAAAAAAAAGCCAATGTTCCCACAAAAAAAAGTGAACGCACTGCCCCAAAATGGCGTCCAAAGATGGCGGATTGACGACTTTGACTTCAGTTAGTATTTTGGTCACTGAGAATCAGCATTTGGCTTAATTTCCTCATAGTTGGTCTTTTATTAAAGCTGAATAGTCATAGAATAATAAACCATGAAGAAATATTAAAAAATAATTGGCTTAGGCTATGAAAAACACTACTAAAGTCAATTTTTTTAACAAAAAAATTTTCAAGTTAAAAATCAAGCGTCATTTGTAATTAAACGGCCAACAATAACGCAAAACGTGCAGAAATAAACCATCTGGAGAATATATTTTTCTTTCCAAAACGCTGATTATTTTTTAAAAACTTTTAAACAGTTCCGTAGAAAATGCACTTATGCGGCAGAAAAGCGGTACTGGCGTGGGTGCCTACAGGCCTCTACCACACCATTCAGTAGACATAAATGGCTTAGTTAAAGTGATATAATAACATTTTTTGTACATTATATTGGTTTTATTAACGAACAAATATTAATGCAATAATTTAATCGTAAAAAAAAAAAAAATTAAAATTTTTAAAAAAATTTATTATATTTTTTTTATTTAACCTTCATTATTCTACACGTAGGTCGTTTAAGAAGACCTTCATTGTAAAAATGATATAATTATAATAATAAAACTTAATTAAAAACTTTGCTAAATATCTTGATTTTTTTATTATTTAACGTTTGCAATTTAACACTGTGTTTTGTATATTTACTGATTCTTAAAGGTAATTAAAATTTATATATACTTCCCAGGAAATGAGTCGTATTAATACCTGTTTTATAAACTAAAATAATATATACCTAATCTGAACTATATATAATGAATAGCTGCTGGGTTGTATAGTAAAACTCATATATCACTAATTAAAAAATTAATTTTTATTTCCTTTATTTTGTGCGGAAGTTGGACTATATCATAAATAAATAGGAAATTTTATTATTGAATGAATTATTCTCTCTGCACAAAGAAAGATAGAAACGGTGACGCTATAAGTTCTTCTATAAACCAGAACTGATTGTTTGGATTTGGTCTTGAAATAAGGAAAAAGGCGAAATTGAACCCGAAAACTGGAAAAATGCATTAAGCGAACGAGAAAGGAACTGCCAAAACCTTGGAAAAGATAAAAAGGACCAGTATCCATTATATGGCTAAACGAATGTATAGTAGACAGATGAAGAGAATATTTCAAGATGCTGCTAAAAGGGGGTCAATTGCAGTTTGGATGATATTAAGTGGACGATGTAGGTTCATTATGGTAAAAACCTCTTTATTTTCGATTGCTGAAGATGCACATTGGGTCTATCTTTACTTTGAAGCAGGATATAGAGAGTTATATCGAGAAAGTTATAGCTCATAGCTCTCCTTCTGTCTAGTGCATTTGCAAACGATTTTTTAAGGAATCTAAAAGGAAAACCTGCTTTTCTGAAAGACAATTAGATATTAGCACAATCCAAAGAGTAAGGCACTAAGCAGATAGAGAGCTATTTTTCGTTGTATGTAGACTTCTCTATAACCTGCCTTAAAGTGAAGTCAGTCTCAATTTTCAACTTCTCTTCCAATGTGCAACTTGAGTTTCTCAATCCATATCGATCTGGCAATCGACAATATTTCTTATTCCAGCTTCTACGATTCTTGATTATAATTTCTTTGGTACACTAAACAGGAATGGATCTTGATGGGTATTTCCTAGTATCTCCTTTCTTGTAAGGATAAAAATCACAGTCCTTTCATATTATTTTCTAACATACTTGTTGCTTATGTATGCGCTAAACTGTGCGAAGCAGTACGGTTTCGCCCTTTCCATCTTTCTTTGTGCAGAGAGAATAATGCATTCAATATTAAAATTTTCTATTTTTTTATGATATGGTACAACTTCCGAAAAATTTATTCCGCAATTTCTGAACAATAACGAGCTATAACTTATATAAGATTCCTTAAAAAATCTTTTGCAAATGCACGAAACAGAAGAAGAGCTATGAGCTATAACTCGATATACCTCTCTACATCCTGCTTCAAAGTGAAGATAGTCCCGATGTGCACCTTCAGCAATCGAAAATAAAGAGGTTTTTACCATGATGAACCTACATCGTCCACTTAATATCATCCAAACTGCAATTGACCCCCTTTTAGCAGCATCTTGAAATATTCTCTTCATCTGTCTACTATACATTCGTTTAGCCATATAATGGATACTGGTCCTTTTTATCTTTTCCAAGGTTTTGGCACTTCCTTTCTCGTTCGCTTAATGCATTTTTCCAGTTTTCGGGTTCAATTTCGCCTTTTTCCTCATTTCAAGACCAAATCCAAACAATCAGTTCTGGTTTATAGAAGAACTTATAGCGTCACCGTTTCTATCTTTCTTTGTGCAGAGAGAATAATTCATTCAATAATAAAATTTCCTATTTATTTATGATATAGTCCAACTTCCGCACAAAATAAAGGAAATAAAAATTAATTTTTTAATTAGTGATATATGAGTTTTACTATACAACCCAGCAGCTATTCATTATATATAGTTCAGATTAGGTATATATTATTTTAGTTCATAAAACAGGTATTAATACGACTCATTTCCTGGGAAGTATATATAAATTTTAATTACCTTTAAGAATCAGTAAATATACAAAACACAGTGTTAAATTGCAAACGTTAAATAATAAAAAAATCAAGATATTTAGCAAAGTTTTTAATTAAGTTTTATTATTATAATTATATCATTTTTACAATGAAGGTCTTCTTAAACGACCTACGTGTAGAATAATGAAGGTTAAATAAAAAAAATAATAATAAATTTTTTTAAAAAATTTTAATTTTTTTTTTTTTACGATTAAATTATTGCATTAATATTTGTTCGTTAATAAAACCAATATAATGTACAAAAAATGTTATTATATCACTTTAACTAAGCCATTTATGTCTACTGAATGGTGTGGTAGAGGCCTGTAGGCACCCACGCCAGTACCGCTTTTCTGCCGCATAAGTGCATTTTCTACGGAACTGTTTAAAAGTTTTTAAAAAATAATCAGCGTTTTGGAAAGAAAAATATATTCTCCAGATGGTTTATTTCTGCACGTTTTGCGTTATTGTTGGCCGTTTAATTACAAATGACGCTTGATTTTTAACTTGAAAATTTTTTTGTTAAAAAAATTGACTTTAGTAGTGTTTTTCATAGCCTAAGCCAATTATTTTTTAATATTTCTTCATGGTTTATTATTCTATGACTATTCAGCTTTAATAAAAGACCAACTATGAGGAAATTAAGCCAAATGCTGATTCTCAGTGACCAAAAAACTAACTAAAGTCAAAGTCGTCAATCCGCCATCTTTGGACGCCATTTTGGGGCAGTGCGTTCACTTTTTTTTGTGGGAACATTGGCTTTTTTTTAATAAATAGTTACAAGGAACACAACGATATGCAATTTATAGGGATGTGGGGGGGGTGCACGGTAAGGGGGTCTGGCCCACAGACTACAATGTCTGCCTTTGGTTGTGAGCTATTTTTCAGCATGGTGACCAGTAAAGATAGACTTTTGTGAAATCTGGGTTCCTGTTCTCAGGGATGTAGACTAGGGCTGAACAATCCCTCTGGTGATCATCGTCCATCTTTATCATGATCAATTTTTAGTTATTGCAGTTTTTACTCTCAATAGAATGTCTAGAACCATTTGATGACAAAACATATCTAAATACAACATGAATAGAATTCATACATATATATAGAATCAACTGGTACAATTTAATTGAATTGAAGTATGGCCCTGCTGCTGAAATAGAAAAGATTGCTTGCTTTTCAAAAGCGATGTTTTTTTATTGATTATCAAAGATCATTTAAATGTAAAATGAAACTGAGAAGCCTTGTAAATTAGATATCAACTCTGATCTTCCATTCAGTACCCAGTCATGTCAAATTACAAGGAACCAACTTAGCCAAGTTATGAACAACTCTACTTCAACATCGTTGTACCACATCTCTTTGCATTCATCCAAGGTATTAATCTCTCATCACTTAGAATAAATAGTGCTTTTCCAACCAATACCTGCCCCCTCCTATGTATTAGTCAATGTAGCATTTGTTAGAATTATTAAAAGTATGCATGAAAATAGTCCATAATGAGACACTACGTAACTCACATTTTAAGGATTTCAGCATAAGTAAATTTTCTTCTTGCCTTTGAAGTGTGAGTGATATCTGTTTTAGTAGTAGTTTATATAAAAAAATATATATAATTCATGATACTCAGTAAATCAGTGATTTAAAAAAAAAAAAATCCTTTTTACATTTCAGGATACTACAGATAATATGGATATCCCCCTTGACCTTCTCGACAAGAAGAAAAGTACTACCAAAGATCCAGAGAAATGTAAAGCTCTTGAATCAGAAATTGATGACCTAAATAAAGTAATTTATTCTTGTTTTAATTAATTATTTAAAATATTAGAGTAAATTTTCAATAACACAAAGATACAATTTCTGTGTGAAGATCTGAGATAGTTATATCAAATTGTCTTTTTCTATTAACATTATCCGCTAAATAAGCTGTGACTGTTATCTGTATGTTCTTATTTAAATCTCTTCTGAGTTACAGGCCACAGCATGGTTTCATTATATTCTCAAACAATTCTCAATTGGAAAAATCAAATTATTAATTTTATACTACAAGAACTCAAGAACCAGTTGAAGGTGACAAGCCAGAAACAATTTTCATGATGATGACCCACATGCTTGGGCCAAAATTACAGCAAACTTTATAAACAACATAAATTACTGCATATCCTGATTATTTGTCATCTATGAAATTTTAACAGTCAATTATACCCCCATCTCTAAATTATTTAAACACTGGGGCCCTATCATACACATCATAATTTTGTTTTTATATTATGTCTATTTAAAAGTTGTTTGAGTTTTAAATGATAGATATATTAGCAACTGAGAAATTTGTACCTATGTTATTATTACACAAAATTAATCATAGCATGGAATTGATTATTGATCATAAAAAAAAATTCCTGCGGTAGTGTTTTCTATTATACAGGGTGTTTCAGGGTTAAGTGGCCAAACTGAAAATATGAATTAAGGACCACAAAACAAGTAAAAAAATTCCTATGAAGGTATGTCCTCAAACACATTGTTTAGGAGATATTCACAACTAAAGATTTTCATTGTTATGAATTATTTACGTTATATTAAGTAAATAAAACTTATTTATTTGTTCCAACTAGTTATTAGTTAAACGTAAATATTAAATTCATATTAAATATTGTTCAAAGTGATTTCCTTGAGCATTAAGACAGGCTCGGCATCATTCTTCAAAAGCAGCAGTGGCAGAACGGCACTGGATATGTGTTATTGTTTCACAAGATTCAATTATCCTTCTTCGTAAAGAATTAAGGCCATTGACCGGACTTGCATAGACTTTTTGTTCAACATCACCCCAAACAAAAAAATCCAGTCGTGCCAAGACTGGAGAGCGTGCAGGCCAAGCCACTGGTCCTGCACAGCCAATCCATTGATTGGGATAATTAACATTTAGCATTGTTATGGACCTCTTCCGTAATGTGCAGGACAACCATCTAATTGAAGCCTCATGCGGCAAGAAATGCGGACCTATTAAAATATTGTCTATTATCCCCAACCACATATTGCAGTGAATTGACTGATATACGGAAAACAAATCAGGAAACGTCAACTGGAATATAGGATCGCCTCATGGAATATTTTGACACTTTATAGACCTGGAGCACTGCAAGTGCTTTTAAATACCCTTGAAGACTATAAAATAGACATAGCTGCCATTCAGGAAATCAGGTGGACGGGGCAGGGCAGCCTAAAGAAAAGAAACCACACTGTATACTATAGCTGTGATGACCGCCTCCACACGTTCGGGACTGGTTTTGTTCTTAACAAAAGGCTATCTCAGAATGTGATTGATTTTAAACCGATTAGTTCTAGACTCTGCATGCTCCGACTTAAGGGGAAATTCTACAATATTAGCCTGATATGTGTCCATGCACCTACAGAAGTGTCAGAAGAGGACGTGAAAGATGCCTTCTATGAAGAGCTTGAAAGGTGTGTCGAAAGCAGTCCCAGATACGACATGAAGATTGTGCTAGGTGATTATAATGCACAAGTAGGCAAAGAACCTGCATATCGACCAACAATAGGTCTCCATAGCCTACATGATATTTCCAATGACAATGGGAAGAGACTCATAAACTTTGCGGCCTCAAAAGGTCTTTGCATTGGTAGCACATGTTTCCCTCACAAGAAAATACATCTGGCTACGTGGAGAAAATTTGGAGCTAATAGTAGAATCTCAACTTCACAAATTGATCAGTGCTCATAAGTACCAGACATAGGTCTTCGCTGATTGATGTGAGATCCTACAGAGGAGCAAATGTGGACTCGGACCACTATCTCATAACCTTTAAAGTTATGTACCCTTGAGTACGGATCTCAAGGGCAAGAAGACAGAACGGTGCTCCTGTGTTACGGTTTGACACATCCAAGCTCAAAAGCGAAGAGATCCAGAGAAGGTTCACTGCTGCAATGGATACAAAGATTAGGACCATTGACCGTAATGCAACCATTGATAATCAATGGAAAGAGTGTGAAACAGCTATGACTGAAGTAGCAAGGAAGTAATTGGGATCGAGGAAAAGTGAAGTAGAAAATCATGGTTCGATGAACAGTGCAGGATACTAAATGAGGAAAAACATCGAGCATACAGAACCATGATCCAGAAGAAACACACCAGAAGATATGTTGAGGAGTACCGTACAAGAAGAAGAAGAGAAACTCACACACGGAGACGGAAGAAGCGACAGTGGGAAACCAAGAGGCTTGCTGACATAGAAGCTGCTTTCAATGAAAAAAGTAGCAGGGCATTCTTTCGAATGATCAATAAAGACCGCAGAGGATTCCATCCCCTGAATTATGCCTGTACAAAACCGATGGCACGCTGGTCACAGAGGCAGCTGTAATCATGGAAGTATGGGCAAACCACTTCCAAAATCTATTAAATAGAGGATGTCAAGACGATACACTCCCAAGTGACTTCCTGGAACGGAAAGATGAGGTATTTATAGAGCCCACAGATGAAGAGAAAATACATGATGCAATTGGGAAATTAAAGAATAACAAAGCTCCAGGAATCGATAATATCCCAGCTGAGCTCTTTAAACGTAGTGGGGGTGAAATAATAAAATTCCTCCAAGAGCTATTGATTGATATATGGAGAGAAGAAAGACTACTTTCTCAATGGAACAAAACGCTGATTTGCGCCATTCATAAGAAAGGGGATGTATCGGTATGTCATAACTAAAGAGGCATCTTTCTCCTTCCCATCGCATACAAAATTCTATCCATCATACTTTTCAATAGACTGCTTCCATTTGCCGAACAAGAGCTGAGAAAGTACTAATCTGGATTCCGAAAAGGAAGATCCACGACAGATCAAATGTTTACCCTACGAATCCTGTTGGAGAAAACAAGGGAATACCGGATACATACTCACCACCTGTTCATTGATTTCCAACAAGCTTACGATTCCGTGAACACAGTAGAAGCATATAAGGCAATGGTGGATATGAGCATCTCCACCAAACTGGTTCGTCTGGTGAAAATGACGATGGAGGACAACGTATGCTTTGTTAGAATGGGCGGAATGCTATCAAGAGGATTCACAACGAGGACAGGTGTGAGGCTGAGTGACGACCTGGCCTGTTTAGTGTTTAACTTTTTCCTTGAGAAAGCTATTAGGGACTCTGGTATCCAAGTAACAGGAACACTTCTCAACAAGAAAGTTCAGATTTTAGGATTTGCGGATGACTTGGATCTTGCGGGAAGGACTCTAAACGCCATAAGAGAAGCTTTTAAAGCATTAGAGGAGTCTGCAGCAAGACTGGGCCTAATGGTGAATGATGAAAAAACGAAATATATGTGCACCCTACCTACCCACGAGGATAGTGGGAGTCATGTCTCGATAGGTTGCCATAGATTTGAAAGAGTGGAATCATTCATATACCTAGGATCTCAGATCAACCGTAATAACTGCATTGAAGAAGAAATCCAAAGACGGATCCTCTCCGCAAACTGCACCTATTTCTCCTTCCATAAACTCTTGAGAAGTAGTATGTTTTCGAAGGTCTCGAAAGTGAGAGTTTATAAGACAATTATATGACCAGTTCTTACATATGGCTCAGAATGTTGGACTACAACTAAAGCCCTTGAGCATCTCCTCCGTTTTGAAAGAAAAGTGCTTTGCCCTATATATGGTGGTATATATGAGGGAAGTGCATGGAGAAGAAGAACGAATGCTGAGTTAAGAGCGAGGTACAAAGAAATAGATGTATCAAAATTCTTAAAGGTATCAAGACTTTGCTGGGCTGGTCACATCATAAGGATGGATCCAAACGAAGATCAGCTGGGCAAATGTATGGTACCAGGCGGGTTGGACGCCCCAGACTTCGCTGGGAAGACTGTGTGGCTGCAGATGCAATATCTCTGCTCGGTGTTATGAACTGGAAGGCAGCAGCACGGAACAGGCAGGACTGGCGTAAGCTTGAGCAGGCTATGACTCAACTAAATGGGTCGCCGAATAAGAAGAAGACATATTGCATTGAAACTGGTGCTGAAAATGATGCTCACAAATTGCATGGGAATTTCCCTGCGTCCAGAGATGATTATTTTTCTGATTAAAGATACCTCTTCTTGTAAATGTAGCTTCATCTGTCAAGAGAATTTTCTTGAAAATTGTGACTTATGCTCAACTTGAACTAAATACCAATCTGTAAAATTTCTTCTTCGCCAAAAATCTTGCGGTAATAAATTTTGTACCCGTTGATAATGAAATAAGTGAAGTCCATCTGCAATGAGAATTCTCCATACTGTAGTAGGGGGAATATTTAATTCTGCTCTAGCTCTTCGTACACTGCCAGATGGATTATCATCTAAATATTGTAATATTGTCGCACTTCTTTCTTCATTTCGTAAAGGGGCAAAAATACCATTAGCACGTGGTATTATAACAAATGTACCACTTTCTCTAAGACGTTGAAATGTGGAGCTAAAGATAGACTTAATTGTTAATCTTTTATTCGGTAATCACCTGGCATATTCATGATGGGCAGCATTAGCATTACCATTTCAAAAACCGTATGCAAACACCATATCGGCATATTCACCATTATTATAAATGATAGGAATAATGATGAGCACTCTGCGAAAGCCTCTTAAAAACTGATAAATGTTATTGAGATTTTCCAATGCTAATTTCAAATAGTATTAATCCTTATGTTGCTAATAGTTTTTATACAGTTAGGGATAAAAGGCCATATTAGTATTCTATCTAATCCATCTCATAAACAAAGCGTCTGCGGACATACCTTCACTCTGAA